ATAATTACGCGAATTTATGTCTATTGGTGTATGTGTGTGCAATCAATTCAATGGAAGGTATTTTTCTCCACGTCGCTGCAAGCCTGATAAAACAGACTGACCGCACAACGGTGCTCACCCACACTAAGAGAATGAAATACAGGTGTACAGTGAAATTAGATGGAAAACATTTGTGCCACTGATTTTTTCAATGCAACGATACGCAACTGTTTTTTTTTTTGTTCGAGCAACTGTGATAACGCTTTTAATGTGTGGTATATTTGCGTCAGGTAGGAAAGTTGATAGCCCTATACAAAGCATGCGGTCGTTTGAATTGATGGCAGTATTTCATTCATTTTCACATTTCTTCTTCTTTCGTATGCTAGGTGATAATCTAGTGTGACCTTAGACCTTCGAATGGCAACATGTACAGTTATAGACACTCATCCCGACTTAATGATGATTTTTCTATGAAATAATTCTACGTTCGCCACAATTCATTGGGAAATCGGCATACAGCTCTAATTTCCACGTTGTCCTACAAAATTCAGCTGGAAATCTATCCATTAGAAATCTTACAAATCCCGACAGTTACACACAAAATAATTTGGGGAAAAGTGTTCGATTTCTAAGGCATTTTATGATCTTCTAATCAACAGCGTTTGAAACTACCAAAGAGGAGCACTAAAAATCCAGGGTATACAAGGTCCAAAGGGTCACTCACCTCTGAGACAGACTCCTCCTCGGACTCGGATAGATCTGTGGTGACGGGCTGGTGATAAAGTTCGGTATCGGTGTCCGTATCGGGAGTCATGATAGTCTGCAACGCCGATGAAATGGCGTTTACGATTCCCACCGATGAGGAGAGCGACGAGGCGTTCGAGGACGAGGCAGATCGGTTTGAGGCGGACGCAGAGGCTGAGGCAGCTGCGGCGGCATCCTTTAGCTTCTGCTTCAGCACCGCGGCCGCATTGGCCACATCGACGGCAGGATTAAGGGCCATGCTCATTGCCCCGGCGGCGGTAGCAGCGCCAGCGTTGCTATCGACGGCAGCGGCGGCGGCTCCCATCAGCAAAGAGGTTGCGGCGAATTTTAAATGCGCTGAATCCTTGCTTCCAGGCAATCCGACGGCATTGTTGTTGGCGGGCGAGGCTGCGTTCTGCTGCTGTTGCATGGCCACCTGTCGCTTGAGAGCGGCGACCGCAGCTCGAGTCTTCTTCGAGCTGGTGCTGCTGCTGGTGCTGGACGTGGGTGCGTTGGCATTGGCATTGGATGATGCTGCGGCAGCGGGCGATGTTCCGGGCGCTGAGGCAACGGCAGCTCGAAACTTTGCTGCACTACCGGCGGCAGTTACGGATACGGGATGGTTTGCAATGACCGTACTACTGCTGGCGGCATTCCCGTTCCCACTGCCGCTGCTGCTTGTGGCACAGCTGCCGGCATTCGTTGTTGTTGTGGTGGTTGAGGTGGCCGTCGCCGATGCGGGCGAGGGCGTGGGAGTGCTGCTGCTGCTTGTTGTACCGGACATTGTTTTTCCGTTGTTGTTAGTATTGGCAGTGGCTGAATTGTTGTTAACTTTAAGTCTGCCTGCTGTTGAGGCACTGACTGAGGCGGCACCACCGGTTGTGGCTGTGGCTGTGGCAGCGGCTGAGGTCTTCTTCTTCAGATGACTCAGCTCTGCCACAAAACTGGAGGAGGGAGCCTTAGAGTTGGAATTGAAGGTGGTGGTGGTGCTGGTTGTAGCTGGTATGGTTTTTAATCCTCCTGCCGACAGATTCTCATGCTTTGCTATCTTCCTGGCACTGCCACTGCCGACGCCCTTGTTGCTGGCGAGTATTGCAGCGGCTATGGAGTTCCTTGCCGTCGAGATGCGTGGCAAGTTATGGTTAAACTGTCTACTCGGCTTCTGGTTATTGTTGTTGCTTGTAGCTGTTGTTGTTGTTGGGGTAGTTTTGCTGGTTACAGGAGATGCAGAAGCAGCTGTATCTGTGGCGACTGTTAAAGTGCTCCTGTTGTTGTTGTTGTTGCTGCTGGTCACTGCAATTGCTATTGCTGTTGCTTTTGCTGCAGCTGCAGCTGTATTTGTGGTTGATTTTTTGTTCAAATACGCCGATGAGCGCACATTCAAGTCATCGCAATCATATTTTTTTGCATCATTATTCATTTTACTCTTTCTTGGAAGTTGGGTCTATTCCTCTTATGCTTATGCTTAATTCGTGCGTCCTTTTTTAGTTTGGTTTGGGGATTATCGAAAAATAATTTATTATTCTTGAAATTGTGTTGTTTCGTGAAAATTTAAACGTATCCAAACAAATTTGATATTTTGTTGCAGTGTTTCCCAAAGGCCGCCGGTGCCAACCGGTTCGGGTCGAAAAACATATCCTGGCCAATGCGCTTCATATGGAAACACTGTAACAAAACGCAAGCATGTTGACTGGGTCTTGGACATTTTTACAGTTTTATTGATTTTTTTTATATTGTTAGGAATTGGAGGATATATATATATATGTGTGTATACAATGGAAGGGGCACACACACACTAGCACAAAACTCATACACAACACACACGGCACGGGGGTCGTCTGTAGCGGTATGGCAACGCTACGCATTCTTTCACTTCTTTGCCATTGCACACTCATTCGTATATTCAATCGTATTTTAATTCTCCCAATTCCCAATCCCACTGATTCACAGTTTTTTACATTAAAAATCGCCCGAGATCGGAGAACAGAAAATGAATGATGCCCGCACGGCGAATTAAGAAAGGAAATCACTTGTATTTTCTTTGCACATCGTTTTCTTTATTTGCGGAGGCAATCGATGCGCAATTAGGACTTGGAAAACGAGCGAGGCAACGTGCTCCACTATTTATATAATCGCTTTGGGGGCACAACAAAACGACCAATCGATTGCTGCATTTTGGTCGATTATTTATTTGTTGTGCATTGGAAGCTGAGGCATTTTATTTATAAAACTTTTCGAGCAGTTTCGACTTCGCCCGAACGAACGGAGGAAAAAATCACTTTTCGACTTTGGCGTATGCGTTTCGCTTGGTCGATATCCTCGTCTCGCTTGCGCGCACGAAATGCCTTGACGCGGCCACTCGGACCGATGTTGTTATCTCGCTTCGACGCGCAGACGAGGGCAGAATGTAGAGACTAAGGGAAAATTTTTCTTATCCCACTATTCCACTCATTTTCACTAGTTATATGCAGCCCCAGCGTTTAAAAGCTATCACATTATGCTAAGCACTTGTTCGCCACCACTTTAACAGTATCCGCGCGTATTACCGTCTCAAATTAATAGCGTATGAATCAATTTTCCAGCAGTGTTAAATTCTCTGTCTATCATCACAGTTGTTTCGGATCGCCATATTATTCCCGGATATTAGGTTGCCACTTGGTGTTAGGAGTAGGTTGCAGTGTAACCGCGGAATTATCGTTTAAATATACCGCGAGGGCCTCGAAAATATACCGTGAATCAAAAATCATTTTCCTCGATTTTGATGTTCATTTGAATTTTACCAGCAGGTTAGGACTCTCAGCTTTAAAAATGTAATTTTGCTCAAATCATCTTACAATTCTCCGCAGGATTTGCTGATTTTATGATACATCTTTCTTCAATTGATTGCATAAGGTTAAAACTAAAAAGGTCAACCTTAAAAATACATTTGCTTTACTTAATAATATAAATCCATTTAATCAACTGCTTTCAATAATTAACAATGAAAGTCTTATACTGACATGCTTTTAAGCTTTCCATATGTTTTGTACGTAAGGCGGAGAAATTAGGCACCAGCTGTCGCGGCCGAACCGTCAGTCTTAGGGTCTTCTTTATGGTCTCCTCACCAGCCATTTTTTTAAAGAACTAATTTGTATTTCTTTATTGGAGCAGGGGGGGCAGCAGTTATCCGAAAATCCATTGATCTCTATTTTGATTTGGGGGCATGGCTCAAACGCTTTCGAGTGACTGTTCAAACTTCACTCACTGAACGCCGGCCTTTTAAATAGGAAAACACTTTATCCAAATTGGGGAAATAAAAGTGCTTGTAAATGTTCATTGCAGCTAAACTGCTCTAATAATCATTAAGTTTCATAAATTTCTTAGTTTTCAGAGCTCTGACTCAGGACTCAGTGGTAAAGATCGCCACAAAGCACACCGAAATAACTAATTGATATAAATAATAGTTATAATTTGATTTTTAAAATTTGTTTGCATCTTTCAAATTCAAAACATTGAAAGCAGCGATATTTCCGATATTTTTTCACCTCTAGACCCATCGATAGACAGCAAATACATATGGTGTGCCCGTCTGTTGAATCTAGAAAAAAGTGCGACCGTCTGATTTTCTCCGAGCCCGACTAACAAACACTACGTGTCATTTGCCGAATTTCAGGACGAATTAACGATGCATACGGTTTTAACCAGAGGAAATGCCACGGTGGCGTACTCCCTGAGCGTCCTGGCCTGCCTCACCTTCAGCTGCTTCCTCTCCACCGTTTTCCTCGACTACAGAACCGATGCCAACATCAACACCGTCCGAGTGCTGGTGAAAAACGTTCCCGACTACGGCGCCTCCCGTGAAAAGCATGATCTCGGCTTTGTCACCTTCGACCTGGAAACGAACCTTACCAGTGTCTTCAACTGGAACGTGAAGCAGCTGTTCCTCTACATGACCGCAGAATACAAGACGCCCTCGAACACACTCAACCAGGTGGTGCTCTGGGACAAGATCATTCTGCGCGGCGAGAACCCTGTGCTGGATTTCAAGAAAATGAACACCAAATACTACTTCTGGGACGATGGCAACGGCCTGCGCGACAATCGCAATGTCTCCCTGTATCTCTCATGGAACATCATTCCGAATGCCGGCCTATTACCCTCCGTGCAAGCCACCGGCAAGCATGTCTTCAAATTCCCCTCAGAATACGCCACCTCGTCCATTTAGAAACAGATTTTCATAGATTAAAAAAATGATACAACTGCACTCTATTTTAGGGATTCTGTTCTGTCTGTAACGTGTGTAGTGTGTATCGAAAATAAAAACTAATAAATTAAAATCTCAATTAAGATTTTTCGAATGTTGCGACAAAAATGCTTAAAACGAAACAGGAAGAGATTGTTCTTGGACACGACACAATAAAATAAGATAGAGAGAGGGAGGGAGAGAGGAGAGTTTCTACATGAATTCGTAGCTGCCATCGTCAAAGTTGCGATTGCTGACCATAGGACCACCGGCGCCGCCCATTTGATTTGGATTCTGAACACCGCCGCCCATCTGCGGACGGAATTGATTGCCAGGCGTCGTCTGGTGTTGGAGAAGTTGCCGCAATCCGGGATTGTTGTTGCTCATCATGGGCCGAACCATGCGCTGCTGCTGCTGCTGCGCCGCCTGCTGTTGCATCGCCGCCACATTGGGTGCCACTTGCTGTTGCAATTGTTGCTGCAAATTCGGATTAGGAACGCCGCCGGGCACACCCACACCCAGGGGCATTCTCTGCTGCTGCTGCTGTTGCATCATGTTCATTTGCATTTGATTCTGTTGCATGGGCATGCCAACGCCCCCGGGTCCAGGGCCACCGCCGCCACCAGGACCGGGTCCACCACCCCCCTGCATTTGCATATTCAATTGATATTGATTGTAGTGCTGCTGCTGCTGTTGGGAGTTGTCCTGCTGCTGCATCTGCTGCTGCTGTTGTTGCTGCTGCTGCTGCTGCTGCTGTTGCTGTTGCAGCTCCATGGGTGACTTGCCCTGCTGCTGTAGCATTTGCTGCTGTTGCTGCTGCTGCTGCATGTTGCCATGCTGCTTCTGTTGTATAACCTTCCTCAGTCGCTCCACAAACATCGCCTGATTGTTGGGGATGAAGCCCAAGAAGGCATTTCGATCCGGCGTATAGAGCAGTATGAGAACCTTAAGCTCACAGGCAGGCGCATTCGGCATGGAGGAGAAGTGCACGCAGCCGGCAAAGCCAGAGGTCATCATCTTGGCCAGCGAATCGAGCGCCTCGCCAGGCGTTGGCCGGAACACAACCATCTTGGAGTCCTTCAGAAACTGCCCACCAATGTTGCCCACCAAATGTTTGGGCATCAGTTGCATCAGCAGCTTCGGTGGCCAGTTTTCTGCCTTGATCTCTGGCTCGCCATCCTTGATGTTCGTGCAGACAGTGCACTGAAGCGTGTGGGGTATCTTCTGTGGATCATTTTTCGGTTTCTCCGACCACTCCAACAGTCCTGTCCAGATTTTCTCTCTCAAGGATGCCTGCTCCTGCTGTGGATTCGATTGTTGTTGCTGCTGCTGTTGGACTTGAACTTGTGCCTGCTGTTGGGGATTCTGTTGGGCCTGTTGTGCCACTTGCTGCTGCTGTGGATTGGGCATATTTCCCGCATTGGATACCGCCGGCATCATGTTGCTGGCATTGGGATTCCCTTGCTGTTGCTGTCCTTGCTGCTGCTGCTGCTGTTGTTGCTGCTGTTGCTGCTGTTGTACCAATTGCTGTTGCATTTGTTGATTATATTGCTGCTGATTGAGCATCTGCAATCTTTGCTGCTGCAACGAGTTCACCGTCTGATTTGGCGGTGCATTTATCCTAGAGATGAGCGCAGAATTGGCATTCTGCTGCTGTTGCTGCTGCTGCAGCTGCTGTTGCATGTTGCCGCCACCACCTCCGGCACCCTGTTGCATGAACGGCGGACGCACCTGTCCCTGCTGATTCGGATACATCCAACGATTCTGTCCAGGCACAACATTTTGCTGAAAGTTTGGATTCTGCATCTGGTTTTGGGGCACAAATTGATTCTGCTGCTGCTGCTGCATCAATTGTTGCTGCTGTTGGGGGTTCAGCAGACCCGCCTGGGGATTGGGACCAGGTTGCTGCTGCTGCTGCTGTTGCATTGGATTCATGTTCATCACCTGCTGCTGCTGCTGCTGTGGCGGACCTCCCTGTTGCTGCTGCTGCTGCTGTTGTGCTGGTGTGGTGTCCATCGGCATACCCTGCCCCGCTTGCTGTTGTCCGCCTGGATTCTGCTGCTGTTGTTGTTGTTGCTGCTGCTGTTGTTGTTGTTGCTGCTGCTGTTGCACAGCAGCCTGAGCTATGCTTGGTGCTGCCATTTGAGCAGCCATGCTATTGGGACTGGCGGCACGCTCCTTCAGGCTGTATCCCTTCAGCAGCACCAAATGACGAATATTTTTGGCATAGTTCTTGCTGGTAATCGGCTGATCCCCGTCCGCCTTCATGAACAACTTGAAGAGAATCGGCATTTTGCGTGGCGAAATGATCGACAGATTGATTTTACGCTCGTTGAATAGACTCGCCAGCTGCTCGCACGATTTGCCGATATATTTCCACGACTCCGTCACCGGCATCTGATACGGCGGACTATTGCAGATGAGAATGCAGTGGCGCTGGACATTGGTCTGGTCGAGCATTTGGCGACGCTCGCTGATGTCCTCAAAGCAGCCATGGGCGGCGGCAAAGCCCTCGGCCATGTGTGCACTCGACTCCATGCCACCGCCAACCAATGGCAGACGCTCGATCGTCTCCATCACCTTCTGGGGCTGCAGGAAGGGTCCATAGGTGGCGCACACAGGCTCCAGCAGATTGGAGGCTGTGCGGTATACGACAATGCCATAGAGCGTGGCAAATCGCTCCGCTATCAAATACTCTCGCTCGTCAATGGAGCCCGTGGTGAAGTGCTCCAGCGTGGGCAGAATGTAATTCGTTTTCAGCTCATTGATGTACGCACCGTTGATAGCGCTGCCCTCGATGACAAAGACCACATCGGCCAGGGACAGCTGGTCCACCTCCATGACCAGGCAGTGCAGTAAAATTCGTGTCTTGACGTGTTTTATGTTTTATTGCAACAACAATAACTATTTATTGCATTTTCTCAGTGCATCAGTGTGACCGCATCTTGTGACCCAATACCGATATAAGACTAAGATTTTACATCGATATTGCCTTACATATCGATAGTTTAATTTTTACATAAATTGTTACATTTAAAATAACGCTTTGATAATTACATTTGTCGTCATTATGTAAAATGAATGTTTGAATGTCCTAGCTAATATTTTTAATGAAGATCTAATTGTTACCAATAAGGCCATATATTTTATATTAAATGTGATAATATTTTAGGTGTATAGTTATTTTTAAATATTTTTAAAAGCAATAAGCAATAAAGGTCGAAAAATTCGACCATACCGTACCAATATTAGCAGTTGCCATGTAAGCGGCGGCGGCGCCACTGCGAAATGGCAGCCCTGCGATTGGCAAGAACGAGCAACCCTGCCTCTCACTCTTACTTCTTCTTCTGCGTTTGTGTTTGTCAAAACAAAATTAAAAATTAAAATTAATTAGGCTCTAGTTTTGATCATTTAAGAGATTTCCCGAATTAAAAACACGCATGTGATTAAATGTACCGCGCGCTACAACATATAGGTCCTTGTGCTCCAGTAAAATCGCTGCTAGCGTCTCGAATTCAATCGCAAAGTTGAGCGTCTGGAAAGAAAAAAAATTGAAATGTTTACCTTAAGTCCCTCGAAAGTGGAAAAGCGCAATTAAACAATTGGAAAGGCAGTCGCAAGTATCCAGTATGCTGCAATATAAGAATGCCACGGCTGCCAATAGTGCGCCAGCAGCCACGCCCGCTACCAGCGTTTCCGGGAAGGCGCCACAAGGGAATGGAAACACAATCGCTGCTGCTGCAGCGGCAGCGACAGCCCCCGCCATGCAACAGATCATCAATATCCACCAGATGCCCGCACAGTTCGGGGGAGGTACCGTCTCCGGCGGCCAGCCCCAAGGCCTGCCCCAGAACATGTTCCAGATTGTCCAGCCGATGCCCGCTATGCAGACGGTAAATATCGATGGCCAGGAGGCGATCTTCATACCCAACCTGAACGCACAACTGGCGACGGCCCAGGCCGTGAATATCAACGGGCAGCAGGCGTTCATTACGCCCAATGGCCAAATCCTGCGTGCTCCGCAGTCGCACACCGGTCAGGCCGGTGGACAAGCCATTCAGCTGCAACAGGCAACGCCCGCACAGATTATCAATGGCCTGGGGCAAGAGCAGACGCAGCTGTTCACCATTCCTGGCACAAGCATTCAGATACCAGTGACCAATCTCATCCAGCAGCAGCAGCATCAGGGCGCAGTCCACGTGCAGCAGCAGCAGCAAACCCAGCAGGGAGCAACGGGTGGCGGTCAGGCTGGAGGCTCCCAGGGTGGAGCAGGCGGCGCAGGCACGGGTAATGGCGGACTACAGGCCACACAGCTGCCGAGCACCATCACCATACCAGGAACGAATATTCAGATACCAACGTCGGTGGCCGCGGCCAATGGGCTGCTGGGTAACCTCACGAATCTGTTGGGTGGAGGCGGAGGTTCGTCCACTCTCAAGCTGGAGAATGGGCAGCTGCAGCTCCGGCCACAGCTGGTGCAGTTCCCGCAGCCCGTGCAACAGCAGACGGTGGCCGTGCAGATACCCGTGCAGACGGCCGGGGGACAGACCGTCTACCAGACGGTCCATGTGCCCGTGCAGGCAGCATCCAATCTGATGCAGGCGCAGTCAATGGCCATGCCCGCTGCAGCGGCTGCCTCACAGATGCACCAGATGATGCCTCAGTTTGCGCAAATCGCGCAAATTGTCACGCCCAATGGACAGATACAGCAGGTGCAGCTGGCGCCGATGCCGTACAGCCAGCTGCCGACGAATGCGAACATAATACATATCCAGAATCCCCACCAGCAACAGCAGCAGCAGGTGCAGGTGCAGCAACAGTTGCAACAGCAACAGGTGCAGCAGCAGCAGCAGCAACAACAGTTGCAACAGCAACAGGTACAGCAGCAGCACCAGCAGCTCCTGCAGGCCATTCAGGAGGCCTCCGCGAGTGGCCAGATACCCGCCAATCAGCCCATCACCATAACGAATGCCCAGGGGCAGCAGCTGACGGTGATACCCGCCCAACTGAGGCAAAATCCACAACCCACAGCAACGCCAGCGCCGCAAGCAGCCACTGCCATGCATCTGCCCGCCGGACTACAGGCTCTGCCCATACAGAACATCCCAGGATTGGGGCAGGTGCAGATCATTCAGGCGAATCAGTTGCCCGCCAATCTGCCGGCCAATTTCCAGCAAGTGCTGCATCAACTGCCACAGATGACACAAGTGCAGGCGCAGGTGCAGGCGCAGGCACAAACGACCAATGCAACATCATCAACGTCATCTTCATCCATTACGGTGATGCCCAAACAGGAGCCACAGAGTCCCACGCAGATGATTACGAACATCAAGCAGGAGCCACCGGATACATTTGTCGCTGCTGCTTCAACGGCTAATCCTCCGCCAACGTCCCAGCCGCAACCACAGCAGCAGACACAGACGCAGCCTCAGCCGCAGACACAGCAAATTAAGTTCATTGTGCCGCAGGCGCCGCCAGCCACGCAAACGGAGGGTGCCACTCAGAATGCTCATTCGAATACGAATCCTTTGTCCAATGTAACAATCCCAGCGTCCATACAAATTACAGCATTGCCGCAGACACAGCCGCAGCCACAGCCACAAGCATCCAATGCTGCCACATCCTTGCCACCGCCACGAACGCCGCCAGTTTCGATTGCCACCATTGCCAGGAGTGGCAGTGGCCCCATAAAGGCCACCACACTCGTAAACACCTCCAGCGCACAGATAACAATTGCACCCACGAGCGGGCAGCATGTGGTGCGAACGACAACAGCGGGCAGCGGCAACAGGAGCAACAACAAAAGCAGCAGCAGTAGCGTCACCACAACGCCAGCGGCCGAAACGAGTGTGAGCATGGATACCAGTGGTGCGGGTCCTGGAGCGGCTGCCGATGTTAAGCCTAGACTCAAGCGTGTGGCCTGCACGTGCCCCAATTGTACCGATGGCGAGAAGCATTCGGATAAGAAGCGCCAGCACATCTGCCACATACCCGGCTGCCAAAAGGTCTACGGCAAGACCTCTCATCTGCGCGCTCATCTCCGTTGGCACACGGGCGAGCGGCCATTTGTCTGTTCGTGGGTCTTTTGCGGAAAGCGATTCACGCGCTCCGATGAACTGCAGCGACATCGACGCACACACACGGGCGAGAAGCGTTTTCAGTGTCGCGAATGCGGCAAGAAATTCATGCGCAGCGATCATTTGTCGAAGCACATCAAGACGCACTACAAGAGCCGCTCCGGTGTGGAGCTGACGGAGCTGAGCATCAAGCAGGAGCAGAAGAACAGCAGCGTAAAGAGCATCAGCACGATGAGTGGCATTGTGACGATCGATATACCTGGCTGCGGGGGACAAGTGATGGGCGGTGGTGCCTCCAGTGTGGCGGCAACGGTTGCGGGCTCAACTGTTACATCAGCACCGGGCGGGGCCACAATTGTTCAGCTGCCCGCTGCAGTTGTCGGTATGGGCAGCTATGCCGATGACGAGGACGAGGAGGAGATGACAGAAGAGGATGACGAGGAGGACGATGACGAAGAGTTGGAGCTGGATGAAGAAATGGATGATGAGGAAGACGAGGAAGAGGAGGAGCAGGACCCGGAAGCGGACGCAGACCAAGAAAGTGGCGAGGATGAGGAGAAGGTAATGACCATTTCGGTAAGCGAAATGGGAGAGACATTGTCCAACTAGCATTCGGAGTCGCTGTTCATGGAACAGTTCATGTTTGATCATTTCCCATAGCACTGGCAGGAGCCGCAAATCCTTCTCCTTTAGGAGCGAGGACTCATTTGTAAATAATGTTAATAATATTCCTAAGCATTTCAAATGTTACCTTTATGTTTTGTGTAAACTTGTACATAGACAAAAATCAATCGAGGTGATCGGGAGCCGCAGGAGGATCGAGAGAGTATATCGACACAATTGTATTGTTAGTTAAGGTTTTTTAATATTTGTACTCAAATTAATTAACTAGAAAGTAGATTTTAATCGATGTGTTTTTTAATGCAGTTTTTATACAACCCACACCACACACACAGAGCAACAACAAATATATTCTATAACATCCAAAAACAACAATAAACTCGCAATTACATTACTGGATGCATGGAACTTAGAGCTGCAAAGGTAACAGTTGTCCAGTGTTATTCTGATAGTAGTTTAACTATTTTAATTAGCATAATTTCAGTCAAATTTCATCAATTTTCTCAATTCTTTTCCCGCTCACTCGATAGATATTCTTATCGAAATGCAACCGCACCAGCACCAACTGCAGCACTGTTCCCCAACATATAATATCCTTTAAGGGATGGGTATTCTCGAATTGAGGACATTTTGGAAATCTCTGGCTCCAATTAATGCAAAAACAAGTCAATCTGTGTTAATGAGCCATCTTCACGAAATGTTGCAGATTATAGATACCGAACATGCATCTGGATTGGTATATAGTACACATATACACATAGAAAACATGAAAAGGTTAAAAGAATGTCAGTCCAAGACAAAGTCATTATATATGTATGTATTAAAGGAGTTGGTAAAATTGATTTTTAAAATTAATTATAGGAAATAGGGTACACAAGTGCCCATACTATGGTATACATCGGTTGGCTAGGAACAAATTGTCAAATACCGTAACATTCCATTCCCAACCACGTAAGTTTTTGCTGTTCTTTGGTAGACCTTTTTGAGTTTTAAGCTTAATTTGGACATATTGCAATAAAAGGAAGTCGTATAAACTAGCCAATATTGTGAAAAACTTATTGATACATTGAATAAATTTATATTCTTAGCGCTGAGACTTCTAACTAGATGGAAATATCAAATAGAACATCAAAATCGAGGAAAATTCTTTAAAATTACGTTATATGTAAGTGTGAACGTATTTTTGTTTTTTTAATATTTCTGTGGGACTTCCTGCCTCCCAAACCACCCCGAGCTTATCATACTATTTACTTATGTTTGCTTTGAGCAATTTTCATGAAAACAATATAATTTATTGTCCTCCTTTGTTGCGCGCGCTATTTTTAAACATTTTTAGTGATATCAATTAACATACATGTGTTACATACATTTACAAAGCCTTGCTTGAGCGATTTGGATGAAAAATTCAAATACCAATTTGTAAAATATAAGGTATAAAGTATCCAATCCAATAGAAAGTCGTATTTATAATACGCCAAATCTTAAATCGGATTAAAATGATGTTTCAGTGTGAAAGGTCATTGCAAGCTAGCAAATAGAACATCAAAATCGAGGAATATGATTTAAAACTACGGGATATTTTTAAAATGATAAGGTATTTTTTGATATACTTTATCGATAGTTCCGCTGGAAACTCGGGCTGGGAAAACATCGATAGGGGCCACCATCAATGGTGGAAATAGTATAGGTACCCTAGATTCCCTAGTAACAATAGATATAGTTGAAAATATGTTAGTTTTTTAGTTTATAATGAAATTCCTGTCAAACCATGGCACTGGGCTCTCGACTGGAGTGCAAAAAACATAAAGGTCATAAATAGACTGTTAATTAATCGAACCTATGATAACATATTTTTACACAATATCAAAGCCAGAAAGAAAAACATCTGCGAAGTTTGCAACGTTCTCGACAATGCTTCTGTTGCCTTTGCACTTACACATCAATCCATGAATTGCACTACATTATATAATTTGTTAAACTCTTACACACGACCACACTTTTTAACATCATATTGTTTAAATTATAAGAACATTTCCAATGCAACAGCGAAGATACCCTTTTTAAGAAAATATCGACAGCCCCATCATCGAAGTACCTGGTCAATGCGGATTTATCGTCGTGCAACCACCCCATCCAATTCTCTGTAGCGATTAAATACCAAAAAAAAAATCAAATCAAATAAAATAAAATCAAACTATAATTTAATATAACTCGCCAACACCCACAGTTAAAGCCAAATAAAAAGAACCCAGAAAGTGGCTAGTCTAGTTAAGAAAATAGTACGCAATATCTACGTGTTTTTATTTCATTCCTGTACCTGAGTGTGCGTGCGTGTGTGTGTTGTGTGTCTGCTTGCGTGCTTGGATGCGATGCGTGTGTATGACTGTGTGGGAGAAGAGCATAGAAGACCGCTTGTTTTGTTTTGACTAAAAACCCAGTTTTGTTTTGTGCATTGAAATGGCTGTCAAAATGGAGGAGAGTTTCTAAATTTTGGTTGTCTTTTGACGCGAATTATATAGGAAGCATCAGCCAGTGGCAAAACTTGGCGCTCCGAGCCACCATGTATACAAAATCAAGAAACGACGAAGAAAACGAAACGCGCAATAAATAAAGGGAAAGCAAACGCGCAGAAAAAGAAATGAAAGAGAGACAATAAAGTAGTTTCCATTTGAGTTGAGAATCAAACATGACTGAGAGCCAAAAAAACGAAAAATATTAAATTTGTAGTGCATTTGAAATTACAGTTTGTTGAAGAAATACTGACAGCTACAGTTACATTTGCAAAATTATTGAGTAATAAGCGGAGACAAGGGAAGCGGCAGAGGCGGCGCGTGTGTGCAAAGAGGCGGGACAATTGTCGCTGGAAAGGTGCAAAAAGTTGAGCCACAGGAAACTCACATGCAGGTGAACAGCCCCGGACCAGGAACCCGGAAACTCATCGTTTCGTCCAATTTCCGTGTATTCGCCCACGCCATTGCAAAGCTTGCTCTCTAACTGTAACGCTGCATTTCCGTGGTATTAAACGCTTCAGTTTGCATATGTGCATATGTGTGTGGTGTGTGTATTGTGTGCCTGTGTGTGTGCTTGTACTTTGCGCGCGCTTGCAAAAGTCCTTTCTTGTTTGCATTTATTTTTGATTTTGGACCCCAACCAACCACCACACCCACCCTCTCCCCTATTGAGTCTATCTTTGTTTACTAATACAAAATAATAATTCAAACCAATTTATTAATATTTTGCAGAGACGCTTATCATCAGGCGGTTATTATGAAAGGTTATGATTTGTTTCCAACTATCCTAAAAAAACAACAAAAATACGTACTTACAAAAATACATTCCATTTGTGTTGCTAAGCGAGGTTTTGTCTCCTCTCCTAACATGAGCGAGCCCTAACTTCCTTTAAAGAGAGCTGAGCTTGCACCGCACCCCGTGATTATCCAACGCTTCTCTGACTGTTCTCCTCTCCTGCTCTTTCTCATTCATCTCCCACAGGCAACCATTATAAGATGTCTCGTAACAAAGACAAATACGACAGCGCCAATCGAAGGCAGCAGATCTTTCTCTCCCAAGAGGACATTGCCGCTGGCAAAAAGACAAACTGGAGCGGCCTCGAAATAACTGGTGAGTAATTGCACCCCACCCGAAATAACTGTTGATTTCTCTTTCCCATCCACTCATGGCTCTCATAATTACCGTTTCGTACAGGCTGCGTGCGGAACATCAGCCCTTCGCTGTGGGAGTTCGAGCATTTGACCGCCCTCTACCTGAACGACAACCAGCTGCTGCGCCTCCCTGCCGACGTGGGCATGCTGACCAGCCTCCGCACCCTGGATCTCTCTAGCAATAAGCTGCGAAGCCTGCCCGCCGAGCTGGGCGAGTTAATACAGCTGAGGTGGGTTGCGCTGCCCGTTACGACGCAGCATGCATGTCACATGGAATGGAAACCACATCTTTCACTCACAATTGTTGCTCCTTTTTAGGGAACTGCTGCTGAACAACAACTTTCTGCGCGTGCTGCCGTACGAGATTGGCAAGCTCTTCCATCTGGTCATACTCGGCCTGATGGGAAATCCGCTGCAAAAGGAGTTTATGAACATCTACAACGAGCCGAATGGCACGTCCAAACTGCTCACCTACATGCTGGACAACTTGTCATGTGAGTGTCTACGTCTCGTTTTTGTTTTTGTTTTGTTTTTGAGTATGAGTGACGTATGCTGTGCCGCTCCTGTTCATGGAGCGGATCTGTGTGCGTGTGATTGTGTGGGGGTAAAAAGGAAAGCACATAAGCATGGCAAAAAAAGGCTTCCGAAAAGAGAAAGTTTTCTCTGTGCCAGCAAGGGTATTTTGACTTTGTGGGAAGATTTGATTTTTATAATTAATTATTATATACTATGATCGGGATTCCTCTGCCTTTTTTGTACATTATTGATTAATGGAACCCAGGTCAATACATGTTGAAGCATTTGGTGTGGTTAACAGTTTAGTGTAAGACATGGCTTGTTAATGATTTTAGTCACTTGTACGTGTACCTGGATCAGTCAAGTAACCAGTTAGGCAGCAGCTGTAATTAAAGTTCAAACTCATGGTTTCTCATTAATGCCCAAAAACATAATGCACAGCCAACAATTATAAGTTGGTTTTTTGTTTTAATTGAATGCAACAATCACAACAATTGGCAGCGACTGCGAACAAAAAAAGAACTGCACGACCTCGACATGCAAAAAGCCGCGCTCTGGACGTTGGCCCCAAGAGCAGCGTGCAGCGTGCAGCTTCCATCGTGCATGATCAAGCCGGCAGGCAGTGTTTGTGGATCGCAAGTGTGGAACCCAAGAGAATCAAAAGCGGCAGAGCTCTCGAGAGAGCCAGTTCGAGAGCGTGCTCCAACTGGCTATAACGGCTTTTACTGTTAACCCATGTGGGGGCCGGCGCGCACAAGCTTGAATTGAATTTTCAGCTGACTTCAGTCTGCCGCACGCCAGGCTACGAATCGGTCGCTCTCTGCTCTTGCTATTGGCCACACAAAGAAACCCGTTCGCGACCGTCGCACCCGATTCGTCTCGAGCTCCGTACCCTTACCCGTGTTTCGGTTGGCAGCCGCGCATGCGCAAAGTGTTTCGTAATTGACAGCCAGCGAGCAACATCAGCAATAGCAACAGCAGCAGCGGCTTGTCCCAGTTTCCAGTTCGCTTTTCATTTCGTTGTAGACAGAGATTTTGTAGACTTTTTCGGTAATGCCCACGGGCTGTGCAAATGCATCATTGAGTGTTGGGGGCATAGTATATTGAAAGCGGCTAAGTGATGTGCAATCGACTACGTACCAAGACCAGACGACAAGCAACAGAGGACGCCACCACTCACAGAGATCAGGAGCAAGGAGAGCGGCAGGATTATGAGATCGCATGTGGCCGTCTATCGCGCGCCAGACAACGGGAATATCCACGCTGGACCCTTTGCTAGATACCATCAGTCTCAGCACTTACATTGGGCCTCAACGCAGCCGGTTCCTCCACCCCCTTCAGCTGCTGCCGCCTGCTACAATCAGCTCCAGCGTCAGCGCCTGCATCATGGACCACACGTTCCCTGGACACCTGCTCATGCCCAGGGGCAGACTCCACTAGCTCCGTCCCCTCAGGCAGCTAGCTATGGCATTGGATTGGCCCTACCGCCTGTGGTTAATCAGCAGCGCATCAACGAGTGCGCCGGAATCCCACTCATCTCGAACGCCTCCAGCCATCTGTCCCCGGGTCAACGTCAGCGTCTGCTGAGGAAGACAGCTCCAAAGACGCCACCATGGCCGCCGACGGGTGTGCACTCCATGTCCCAGCTGGCCGCCCACGCCCAGGGTATGCCACTCCTCCAGCAGAACGGCAAGCAGCATCTGTCACAGCATCACCAGCCGCAGCAGCACCATCATCTACCGTCGTGGAGTGCCTACCAGCCGATGACCCAAGCCAGCCAGAACTACAAGCTGGCCGATAAATCCCGAGCCCTACGCTACCAGAACTCTGCTCCGCCCATGCTCCAAAGCCAGGAGAAGCAGACGCTGGCCGGCTCTGCTACTGGCTGCCAGGATGTCACACCGCCGCCGGAGAGCTGCCTGCCACGGATCATTAAGCCGCGCAAGCGCCGCAAAAAGGATCGGAAGCCCGGAAACGGAGTACTGCTGAAAATGGAACCGAATCTACAGATGAACTCGTCCGTCCAGGGAGAGGATCATTCATACCATCATCTGCTGCCTCTGGGCGGAGGTGGTGGACTCCTGCAGCACGATCACACGCACGGCGTTTGCTTTTGCCGGGACTGCGATCCGCTGCGATCCCTGTGGGACTACCAGACACAAACACTGCGTCGCTCGCTCTCCGATGCCTCGTCCAGTGAGCCGGGCGACGGCAGCCGGGAGTCCTCTTCCTCCACGTCGTCCACGCACTCGTCGGATAGCTCCTGCGATAGCTCCATCTGCTCCCAGAGCCTGCCGCCGACCAGCAACTGTGCGCCCACTGGGAAGGAGGAGAAAGTCGAGGAGTTTGCACCCATAACCGGGGACAGCAGTCGGGCGGAAATTGTGGGCGTCATTGGATCGCAGCGAAGCCACCAAGTGGGTCATGCCCATGAGGGCGTCATCGCGACGCCCTCACAGTGCAGCCTCAGCGATGACTCGGGCTATGGCGACATCTTAAGTGGGATTAACATAGCCAACGATCTCTTTGGCAACATTGGCTTCAAAGGCAGGGCCTCATCGGAGTCATCTTACTCGTCTGCCTGCGCCGCCCAGGCGGAGACGCTGCTCGACGAGAGCATCAGCGAGATATCGAGGAAGCTCATTGAGACGTGCAGCAGCGGGGCATCGTCGTCGTCATCGACGTCGTCGTCAGGCGGAGATCGACACGGTTCGGCATTGGGTTCGGGAGCCAGCGACAGTGGCTTGGATAGTGCTGGCAGCTACAGTCGCGACTCTGGCCTCGTCTTTAGCTTTGAGCATTTGAATCTAAATCTGAATCTGACGGATGCGACGCCCACATCTTTGGATTTTCTTGTGGATTGCAACAACAATAGCAGCAGCACAAGCAGCACCAGCGACAGAAACGACAGAAAGAGCAACAATGGCATCAGCATGGGCATCGACAAGGGAGGAGCAACCTCACAGCAATTTTATAACAATTGCTTTGGCCTGTTGTGGCAGCAGCAACAGCAGCAGTATCAGGGTGGAGGTAGAGGTAGAGGTGGAGGTGGAGGCGGACACGATGACAGCCAAGTGGCAGCTGCCAAACCAAACCAAAACCAAAAGCAAGACCTAGACAACCGCCTCGACACACCCACAACCAGGCGAATGATACTGGGAACGTTTCACGGCAAATTGAAGCCAGCATTTTCCACCATCTCGTGACGACGACAATGAAAAACTAATCAAAAATCCAAAGCGACAATCCCCATGGAATATAATAACTGGAGGAAGGGAGGAGTCGTCGCGTCACCGGCGTTCCCTTAAAAGGCAGTTTCTTTGAAAGTCGTACATTTGGAGCGCCCCAGATGGATTGATTCGCGCAGACGCAGCTGTTTTGGTGGCTGACGATGCGTGGGCGCAATCGAGAGAAAATGCATATTCAAGAAATTTCCAATTTCCACCTAAACATCAATTGCATAACCAACGACAAGCATCCAACGAGAAAGAGGAAAGAGGAAAGAAGAAAAGCCATTAAATTTGTTGAAGGCTTACAAACATATGTGAAGATGATCATCATCACGATCATCAGGCGACGATAAAGAAAGCAAAAACAAAAGGCCAACAAGTTTAACAAATACTCCAAACCCCGATGGAAATTGTACGAAACGGAACAGAAAGACAGGCGGCCGACGCCGCCGGGACTTGGGAGACTGGATGGGAAACCTTGTACATACATTCATACAACACTTTAGCTTGAAAACTTTCACTTTCACTGCCGATGCGATGCGACTATGCGGCGTTTCGTATTTTTAAGACAGTGTTTCCTTTTCTTTTTGCCAAAGACCACCACAAAATGATGACGGGGTGCGGATTCGTGTTGTGGGTGGAGGGGAAACAACGTGAGAGAAATAAAGAGAGAGACTTGGGTGCGCGAGAGAGACTCTTATGCAGATTTTGTGGTGCAAAAAGAAGAAGAAACTTTGTAGAAATCGAAAGAGAGCATAAATGATACATCAAAATACGACTATCCAGATCTACCGAGTATATTTAACTGTATCTGCTACAGATCCACTACATCTAACCATACCTAGAGATACATTTTCTGTAGATGTATCTTCTTTAACCATATTTATACCTATCTACTTTTAATTGTTGTTATTTGTGCATTAACGTTAAGCTCCTGAGATTTGTATAGTTTTGTACGGGTTGTTTTTTTATGGGTTACTTTTATCAGTAAGCTGTTGGACATTATCGAGCTTAAGCCAACGTTCCTACATAATAATATTGTGTTTTCCAGCGACTCTTTGGGTTCTATTTAATCATAATTTTAGGATTTAATCGTGCCGAAGCGCTACTACGTGAACTTTTCTTAGTTTTGTAAGACCTTAAGTTATCCTTAGACACAAAAAGAAGGATCTCTGTGAGGGTTATATGAGTTTATTGATTAGTAAATTAATTATTTCGATATATTCGGGCACTTGTTGTCCTCTAATTTGAATGTAAAGTAGAAAGTATAAAGTGGTATTAGGGTTTTTAATCGACGAAGTCGAAGTCAGTGTCTTGAGTAGCTGCCGAGTGGGGATTGGGGTTTTGCTTTTATTTAAAGTAATTTCAGTAACATTTTTCCCTCGTTTAGTTAGGGTTTTCCTTTAGTTTTATAACAATTCGAGTGAATATTGCTTAACCTTTTTGATTTTATGCTTAAAACATTATTCAAAGTTTAATTTGATTATAAAGCTTAAATGAAAAACACTCGGTACGAAATTGAAAACAATTAGCTATCCATTCATTCATATCATCACATCTTTAAATTAAGATTTATAATTCTTTAAATTGTATACAATTTGATGTGTTGTAGCCCAAAGATCTCCATCCGTGGCAGTGGAGATCTGGTGCAACAATTAATTCCGATTGTAAAGATCGCCAAAGCATAAAATCTAAATCTGAAAATCGAGAGCAGCCCTAGTTACCTGCTTTGTTTGTTGGCGAGTAAAAGTTTTCGCCTGCTATTTGTTTTTTTTTCTTCTTTCTTTTTAATTAAAAGAAACTCACGAACGCGGGCGCACCAAGCGCAAGCGCGCTGAAATTGCTTGGAAGTTTTCCGCTCTACTCGATGCTGAAGCAGACTTCAGACCCCGGCTTGAAGTCTTCGTCTCAGCTTCAGCATCAGCAACAGAGCTGTTGGAAAATGTCACAGATTTTCCATTGGCAAGTTCCGGCAGCACAGGCAGACAGCCAGGACAGACAGAGACTCGTGTTACCATTCCGCAGATAGAAATTATCACTCAAAGCTAATTTATTTAATTATTATTTTCACTAGTTTGTATTGTATTGTATTGTATTATCTCGTATTGTAGTGTTTGTTTGTACGTTAGCATCGTTTTTGCACAAATAACAATGTAGTTTACACAATACTCTCCCCCTCTATAATAACCACAACATTTGTAGCCCCCACCCTCATACAGATACAAATTGAAACTTTATTTATTTTGATTTAGAACGAACTCGAGAACTCAATAAAAAGTGTAAACAGAAAAATGTCAAACAAAAAAGAACTTGATTGCTGTTTTGATAGCCTCGAAAAATTCGTTGGAAAGAAAAGAAAACCCCAAAAACTTCATCTTCTAATGAAGCACGTACGAGAGATGGGAAAACAAACAGAACCGTAGGCCTACTCACACACCATTTTCGGAGCGAAATGCACTTGAAAATGAACTTTCCCAACACATTAGCTCATGTTGACAGAAGACTTTTCTCATTGCACAGAGACAGATCTCCAGGGGCGGAGGCAGCTGGAATCCCAGTATGGATGGACGGAGACTTAGATGAATTGGTTGTTGCGGCCCAGGGTCCCACCTTTCACCTTTTTGCGAAAAAGATTAACCGCTGCAATAACCGTAACTGGCAAATTAATTTTTAATCATTTTGTGGCCGTCATTAGGCTAATTAATGTCTCCATTTTAGGATTGTATCTATCTCGTCATCCAGCTTGTTCTCTTCTGTTCTGTATTCTGTCGGTTGTCTATTCTTTTAAATGTTGTTAAAGACGCCTATTTCCCATTTGCAACCATCATCAGGGCTTTCACAACGAGGTCTGAACCTCCAGAGGACCGGACCGGACCGGGCCGGACCAGACCAGACCGTCGAGCGTTGAGTGGGTCAGTGGATAATTGGGTCATTTGCAACACTGTTTGCGCCATCAGTTTCAGTCAGCATCGGGTACGGTACGAGCCACTGAGTGGCAGTGGCAGTGGCGGCAGCACCGGTGGCTAATGTGTTTTGGCTACGTCAATAAATGCGTCACGTTGCTGTTGTTCTTCTCTCCAACGAAGCGGGACCAGACCAGGCCAGGCCTGGTCCTCTCTCTCCCACTTGTCAGACCATCCACCATGCTGCTCGTCTTCGCTCTCTCCCTCCTTTTGGCCACTCAAAACTTAATTGTTTTTTCTCACCTTCCCTAACCGGGCAGGGGGGTATGCGCGGTTTGTCGTTCTGTGTGCAATAAACCGAAAAAGAGGCAACCAATTAGTTTCTTTCAGTTGGGACATGATTTAAGAAACTTCTAGATCTTGGTTCAGATTTTAGAGCATTGAATAAAGCAAGAATTTGTAACATTTAACATAATGATGCTTGCGTTTCCTCCAATGCCAAATAGTTGAAATTTGCTTACGATAAGTAAATAAGTAAAAGCATTAAGACTGTTTCGTAAGTTTTGTTGTCGTTTCTCATAACTTAATTGATTCTTACCATGTGGTTTGCTTTCCATTGTTTCCCAATCGTTTCATAATGCAATAACGAGACTGCTTTGTTGCCTTTACTTCGATATCAATAAAAGAAATTAGGTAGAAAGGCACAGAAAAGGGAGTTAAACTTTATCATCAGTCACATAGCGACAAAATATGAAGTCTTTCAAAAAGTACAATTACATATATTGCTCGTGTAGCATGCATAGCTTCTGGAAAGCGTATTCCCATCGTCACATGGCTTTCTAGTCAAACATTGTTCTTGCCTGTTGCTTCTTCTAATGACATTTTTCACTTTGTCTTGCAATTTTTGGTTGTTGCTTTTTTATACTTCCTCTTATGTGCCCCTCCCATGTCGTTTTGCCACTTTTCCATTAAGTTGGCTTTTCTTTTGGATGGGAAATTAGCATTTCGCCATGAAATTGAAAGTTTCAGTTTCCAATTAACTTGGCCAGTTCAGTGGGCCAGACGGCAAAAAAAAAAGTTCCTCATCACGGCATGGCATGGCTTGGCTTAGGCAATGGGCGATGGGCGATGGGCAATGGGGGATTGCTCAAGTTCCACTCCAAACAAACTTCCTCCTCCTCTGTTCGTAAGAGAGAGAGAGAAGCAACAAACACAATGAAAAAATATGCTGTTAATCCGAATAAAGGCCAAATGTCTACGAAAAAGGTTACGCAAAATGTCAAACAGTTAAGAATCCCAACTCCTAACGGCCACAAATGTCATTATTACATTTATTTCCCCCATTTTTAATGTCGTCTGCTAACGCTCGCTTGTTGCTTGGCTCCCCAGTCGTTCATGTGGTTTACTCGTGGTGATTCTTATATGTAAGTAGTTCCGCTTGGTATTATTTCAGTTCTTAGACAATGTTCAGTTGGTTTCTTTGTCTGTCAAAGCAGAGTTTGATCGCTCACTCATTCTCGCTTTTTTTTGCACAGAAGACGGATGGTAGGAAGGGCCTGGGTTCCACACAGCTTAATGTGGATTATATGTGTGTAATTGGATTCTATTAAAGTATATTGGTATGTGTGCAAAGACTGTACTTATTATGTGTGTGTGGAAATGCGGTTGAGAAATTTTAACGATTTGAAAGACAGTTACAAGTACAAAACACACATTTTTGGCTGCATTTTTCCTGTCAACTTTTCAAGTTCTAAGCTTC